TGAGATGAGTACATTTCTGTGTCACGATTGTGTCACCCGTCCCCTCATTGGACCAAGAAGATCGTCATCGCTGACGAAATCGGAGAAAAGTTCGAAAATGAGGACTTGATATAAAAGGGCCAGGCATGATGAGTAAGGGGGTGGAAGTTATTATTGGTATCTGTGTGTGCGCTCCGATCGTCTTCCTCCCGCCGAGAATCCGAACCTCCTCCTCTTGGACAAGACTGGAAGACCTGAACTTAACTGAAATCTTTCTACTCACCTGGAAAGAACTGTTCACCTAAAAAGAACTGTTGGACCTTTTGTGCTGATTTTGCCTACAACCTAAGGTATTTATCCTGCCCGCGCACTATTGTACATTCTCTCTCTCTCTCCGCGTAAACAAAACGCGCACCCGGTCGTTAATTTGGACTAAAAATTGAATAATAACTCATGTAGTTTATGTATCGTATTTTATTCGCTGATGTAAACTTAATTTAGATTATATATAAATAAACGGTTTTTATGTTTAAACTTCTGGAGTGCAGTTTCTTCCGTTTTTCTCTCAGTTTCTCCATTCCGGGTCCAACCCTCATACCTATCCGCTTGCGCGAACTTGTGGTCTCTGTATCGACCGAAGGATACAGTGGTGTCATCCTGACGTGGTATCGAAGAGATACCGACCCTAAGGTCACAAAATGATTAACTCTATAGACTTGGCATTGACAGTACTGACAGTTACATCTCAAAAGATTTTGGTAGATTTACATATGTTTTTTTATATATGTAATTACTTCTCCATGTTTCTATTTGTGTGAATAGTCTTTGCAAATAAAATATCCTTTCATTAAAAAACAATAAGATTAATGATTTTACAGATGTCTATATTTTAAAAAGTTTCTTTCAGTTTTTTGATTTCTTTAATTTGTAATTAGTATAAACATTTTTAAATTGCAGTAAAACCTCAATTTAACAGACTTCAGATTTAAAAGACAAAATTTCCAGTCCATATACAATATGTAAAAATTAACACCCTGTTAATTTTAAAATGCATTTTATATGTAATTAAATTAATAGGTTATTTTATTCAAATCCAAGAGTCACTGCTCTTGACTTCACATCACAATTGGATGATCGTATATCATCCAAATAAGAATGAACAGGTAAGTTTTTTGTATTTTTTTATCAAATTTAAATTTTGTTTTCTTTTTGAAAACTATTTATTTGTTTAATTAAATACATTTAAAGTGTATTTTCCAAAAAATGTTTCTTTACACATTTCAATTGTACACTTGTTTATTACAGTTTCAAAACTATGGTGAGTACATAAGCAATAATACATATAGAAAACTTTTCTGTGAAATTAAACTTCTCATACATATTTAAATTTTATTTATACAAATGTATTTACAAAAGTAAAAACAGATGAACTAATTCATCAGTATTTTGTGTGTGCACGAGACAGCCCGGTACGCCCCCTAGTGGGCGTTCTAGCAGCTGTGATGTCATTCCACGGTATAAATAATAAATTTATATCAATAATAATGAATTCCTATTATAAATAAAAATAATAATATACTGTTAACAAATAAATTATACTGTTGATTTAAATAATAGCTGAAAATCATTGCTAGGGACGTTCTAGCCATTTCGTGACAGATATACAAACAGCGGGATTAATGGCTTATATATATAGATTCATAAAATCTACTTTATTATATAATGGACTTTTAGCTTTAATGGATACCACTTGCTTGAATTAGCCTATTAATTTGAGGTTTTACTGTACTACAGTTTCCTACCTAAAATTTGAAGCAATATATTTAATATAATCCATGGAAATAATTTTTTCATTGGCAAAGAAAGAAAGTTTGTCATTATATAAATTGCACAAGTTTAAATTCATCTCTAATGGAATAGTATAGCTACTAAATGTTAAATGCAATAATGTAATTGGCAATAAATATATATTATATAACAATAACTTACTCTTGTTTAACTAAAGTTTACTAAGTTTAAAGTTTAACTAAGTCTAAGTTTACTCTTGTTTAACTAAACAGCTTTGTGTCATTAGTGTCCAAAAATCACAAAAAAAAAACTAACTTTCTTCAGAGCTTCAGTCCATGATTATTATTCTAATCTCAATTTTATAACAATAACAACAAATTAATAATAAATTAATAAAAATGATTAAAATAAAATCAGTTCCATTGCAATATTCCCTCAGTATAATTTTTGATTCCTTTGAAAGGGTTGTCTTCCTGGGACTTTCATAAATCTTTATATTAATAAAAATACCATTATTAAATTACCCTTTTATAAGAACTTTCTGAATCTGTCACTAGAAACAGATTTTCTCCATGTCAATAGTAAAGATGATGATTCTTCAAAAAAGCTGAAAGTCTTCTTAGTCAAGATGTCAGGATAGAATACTATTATAACTGTTATTGATCTTCTAGCTAAAGCACCTTAATCTAAATTTAATAAAAATGAGCTTGAAGTTGTTTATTAGAGAGGCAACAGACTTGTAAACAGCACTACATTCCATTCAGATTTTAAAATGAATGATCCACTGACACCTTTGTCCATCCAATGTTTGTAATACAAAGTTTCTTGACGTAATGTGATGAAATGTAAAATGATTTTAAAGCTATTTTTTGGATATTGTGGAAAAATTGTCACAAATTATACATAATGACCTATCTGTATCATCAAAGTTAGAAGATTTTTTCTAACACACCATTCAAAAATCATAAGCAAGAAATTACAGTAATTAAATAAATGTAGTTATTTTTAAAAATAAAATACTAATATAAATTTCAACTTACTTTTTTAACTTTTACATACTGACGAATATCCATTTCATCATTATCATGCTTAATGTCTGGTCTTACAGTATCCACAACTCTATGAATAAGAGGTTGAATAACTTCACACCATGACAATGACAAACCTTCAGAACTAAGTAGCTGACGAAGCAAAGCAGTTTCAAGAATTTCATATGCAGCACTAAAAGAAATATTAATTGTTAACTTTAATTTAAGTTTAATTTTCTTTAACTAATTTATTCATTTCTATATAATTTTTATATTTCAGTATATATAACAATAAAAAATAGCAAACTAATAATATTGATGAAATAAATAATTTGAAAAACATAATAATCTCACTTTTCATAAACATTTAAAATTAAATTTTATCACATCCACGGTAAAAGAAAAAAAAATGTATTAATGTATGTAAATAAATTCAAAATAATGATTACAGATTTATGAAAAGTACATTGTAGACCTTGGTGGTATGCACCAAGATGATTTATATTGATAAAGGTCATCATTAAATATCAATATATATTAGATATATATTGATATTTTAATTAAAATTTATTGGTTACTTCACATTGCAATATTTTAATCAGGTATCAATACGTCAATAGCAGAAATATTTCTCAATATCAATACATTGGGATATTGATATCTGATAAAAAAAACTGAGGTCTAGTTCATTGATTCTTAGAGCAATGAGAGAAGGAATTCATGATTCATAGGATATGGGCAATAATTAAAATAAATAGCTACAACTGTAATATCACCAAAAATAATACCATCAACTAGTTTATAAATATATAAGCTAATGCAGAAGCTCTCACTTGTTAAGGACATACCTCAAATGTAAATTCAATTTAAATTATCTTTTTCAGAACAAAAACTTTTTAGAAATCTGTTTATTAGAACAATATTAGGTCTTCATTCTGAATGAAAATCTAATACTAAAGAAAAGAATAATCTGGCATACTATTTTGTAAATAAAAAGTAATTATCTTATTAACTGCCTATAGTTATGAATTGAATCTACACCAGTTCAGAAAGATGTTAAAGTGATACAGAAATAAATCAAATCACTGCTTATTTCAGGAAGATAACACTTTCATTAAAAAAAAACAGCAGTTTCAACTAAATATCCATGCATCATCAGCATAGAACAACTTATTTAACAGTTTAAAATGATGCAGACAATATATCAGGTCAGTCCATAAGTTCCTGGTATTTTATGACTTTGAGAAAAATCTTGTTTTGCTGTTAAAAATGCCAGTCTAATGTGATACTTTTTACACTGAAGTGTTAAATTGGATCTCATTCATATAATACTGTTCAGAATTGGGTGTACTCCTTCTGTTTATTTTCGTTAAAAT